CAGCGCTGTCCGAAGACACTTCCGGGTCACGTGGCCAGCGTGACAAAGCTGCATCTGGCGAGCCAGCGCAGCACACGGAAACGCCGTTTACCTTCCCGCTAGTAAGCGGTCCCTATTTATCTACTTGCACTTTGACGTGCTTTCGAACTGCTAGGTTGGCAGGTGCTGGGACCGAACAACGGGAGCGCACCCCGCCGCGGGGATTCGAACCGCCGACCTTTCGATCGGCAAGCCCTAGGCGCTGAGGCTTTTACCCACAGCGCCACCCGCGTCCCCTGACAAATGGTCTATACAGGCCTATAAAAACTACTACTGTACTTGGAATAATTCTACCTTGTTTTGTTTTTTTGTATGTAACCCTATGTGAAACAATGATTCGGGACCTATTTATCCTCCTTACCCTTTGCTGCCAAATTGCCTGGCTGACACACACATACACACCTCTTTTACTGTGACCTTTGACTCTGATTGTTAGCTTGGTCACCATGGTGGTGTTCTACTATTTGCAAGCGGCAGCTGTTTAACTCATTGTACTTTAACTCTTATGTTTGCAAGCCTTGTTTGCCCTCCTGATTTTGCTCAAATGAAATACACATCGTGGCCAGTTAGCTAACAGGGGATCAGAAATATTAGCATTTTGGTCAGTGCAGATTGGTCAATTTAATTCCAACAGAAGTGTATCTTACAGCTTGACCTGATGCAAAGGATGAGCACATGATGAAGGCTCATTAATTATAGCCATTGCCTAAGAGAGATGTTTCAAATGAACTAAGCTGATTGCATCAACAGACTGTTTTGCTTTGGGGGTTTTTGTACTTGAGGCTCTGCAGATATAGTAATATTAATTAGTACTTTAATCCGTGGGAAATATTTACTGGGTGTCTAGCTATGGACAGCTAGCTATGCTTATTCTTAAAGGGCTTTTTTCCACATTTGCCGCACAATCCTAATGAAGTATTAGCAAGCATCCTGGTTACCTTAAGACAAAACCAGGACCTCGCTTATGAAGAATGCATAGCATGTATACCCTGCAGCTGTCCATGGCAATCCATGATCCTAGGAAGATTAGAAGGTGACAGTATTACAGAATCCCTTTAGAATCTGCACACAAAAGTCTTCCCTGAAATCTAAAAATACATCTGTTTGGGGGCAAGGGGGTTGCACTAAACTAAAATAGATTATGACTTGGTTGCAGGCCAAGTTAGAAACCTATCGTTTCCTTCTGAAAGTAAGTTATCCACATGTAACTGGCCACAGGATTGTTGACAATAGGTGAAAGTCACCTTCCACTGAACTCAATAGCAAACCATCCCGTGATTTAAATGGAGGTACATTTCAGTCTTGGCCAAACTCCAAAGGTCTCTGATGTGCACAGAGTCCAAAAAGATTTGAAAAAAATGCAGAGAATGTGGCATCTCCTTTGAATCAGGGTGAATATCTCATTATTCTTTTTTTCCAGCTCCTCCAAATGTTTTGGAGTTAAGTTAGCAATTTGGACTTCATTCATTTAATGCAATTCAAGCACAGCAGACGTTTTCTTATAGTCACAGAATCCTGGGTGCCTGATGTGTGTCCATTATACCAGGCATTACATCAGATGTTGACCCTGCAAAAGTACTTCAAAATGAAATCAGAATTCTTTTGGTACATCAAGTAAATAAAGCTTAAAATGTATAATCCCGTTTGATATACACCATTGGGATATACTTCTGTATCTTCAAATTCCAAGCTATATAAATCTCCAGTAGTTTTTGTGGGATATATCATTCACTGAAGCAGTCAAGTACAACATTTCCTGTTTCCTAGAGTGGACACACAGGGGAATGTTGCTCCAGACAGGGAGGACTTCCTGTCATACCTGTTCTGGAGCATCCTCCCCATGTATGTGACCAGGTAGAGGGGCATGACCCTAGCAGACCCTATAAAAGGGCTAGTCATGCAGCCATCTTCCTCTTTTTGCTGTTTTGGGGTTCTTTCGTTGCTCTTTTGCCATCTTCCTCTCTGAAGAGCAGTGGAATGCTGAAGTTCAAAATTGGCATTTGACAGCACAATGTGGACCTTCAAAGGGTCTGCAGTTTTTGTGCAAGACAACAATAAAGCCCAAGTCATTTGACTTTTCTCAGAAACTACCCTTATGGGAGTTGCCAAGTTGTGAAATGAACCTTTTGGTTAGTAAACGGTTTTCTTTAATTGTGTGTCTTGTTTGTCCATGGTACCAAATGCTAGCATTCAGATATTTGCCTAGATTTGTTACAAACCTGGGCTCTTCCAGATTTCTTATTGCTTTGAACCTCTTGGAAGCGGAACCAGGTCATCTCAACACAGTAAACCATGGTTTGCCATGAATGCAGAGATCTCTCCCACTTTGCTCCTCACCTAGCAGAGTATCAAACCACAACTCCTGGCTTAGCATTACTTCTAAACCTGAGGCCATGGTTTGTTTCTCTTCAGATAAACCACAATTGGTGAGCCAATAACAAACCTTGGCTTCGTATCATGATTTGCTTGCAGTGAATCCAACCATAGTCTCCAATTCATATGTAACACTAGGCCAGAGATCATGGTCTGTTGCGCCCACTTGAAATGGGAGCCATGGTTTACCATGATGTGCAAAGGCAGCCAAGTGTCTGTTTTATACTGGAAGAAGGCTTTTATGTGTACACATATCTAAGATATATGTAGGAGGATCCTAGGGAGGATATGGGCATGACGGGGAGGGTGGGGAACTGACTTCCTCCTCCTGGCTGTCTCACAATTTACTCTGTTGTAAAAGACCTTGTTCATTGCTTCCTCGGCTGTCATAAGCAAAACACAGAAACATAGGAATAAGTTTTATAGCAGATTGGACAATTTATGAAAATATGCTGTCTGTACAACTAGCCCAGTTTTAGCAGCTGCTCTCCAGGATCTCAAGCAAACCTCTTTCATATGTTAGAATTCCTGCTTCATGGTTGCAGTCATGGGATTTTTGTCTATCACATGACGGTGTGTGTTTTGACTCCACAGAGTGGGAAGTGACGGAGCCAGGATGTTTGTGTTACTGTGTTCCGTGAAGTTGGGACTATTGTCCTTTGTTCTTTTTCTCTTTGCTGTCTGATGCTAGAGAGAGAGGGAGCCATGTTGCAGTGCTCCGTGTGTGTTTATATGTAAATAAAGTAGATTAGCCAAAATGCTGAGTTGCTGAGGTCTGTTACGCATGATGTGCAACCCTGTGCATCCTTAAGTGTGCCGGTGTCAGTTGGCATCGGTCGCTGTGATGTTCGGGCTGAAGAAAGCTTTTGAAGCTCCCAAACGATCGACCAGGAGGGAGAGAACATGCCAGTCGGGCATGTGTCTCTGCCAGGGTCCTACTCGAGTGTAGGCCGAGCCCCTGACATCATATCCCCTGCTATCTGGTCATTTTAACTGGAGATCTCAGGGGTTGAATCTGAGACCTTCATGCAAAGCAAGCGTTCTACCATGGACCCATGATCCCTCTTCCCTACTAGGGAACCACATAAAACTCACCATTTCCCAGTTACGAATTTTGGAGGGCAGCAATTTATCCAGAATACCCATGAGAAAACCATGGCTACCCTGGATGTGTCAGGACTGTTGCAAGTGTGCATCTTTGGAGACCAACAAGCCATGGAGCCAATCAGGATGGGTGAGGACAAGCTGGGTGAGGTCCAGGACAGTGCCACAGTAATAGGAAGTCCAAAAACGCCTATGTAAACCTTTGCTCTCAGCTTGTCAAAGTCAAACATAGCTGTGTTTTTATTTCTTAAGTCTACTGTTAATAATAGCCATAAGACTTCCGTGTGTGGTCAGAGCCGGTTGAAGTGCTGGGAGTCTCTGCTCTAAAAGCAGTGCACATTTAAGGAAACGTGAATAGCACTGGGTATATATACTGGATATATGTACATATAAACTGGTTTAGGCCTTCATGGTAGCTGTATGTGCTCAGCGTGAAGTTTTAACGCTTGCAACCTCAGGGAGTTAATACTGTGAAAATTAAGGGGTGAACAATACAGAATATGATTGATTCGCACAACTTCTCTAATATTAAAGTAGTCTTTGTTATGTCAGGTTCATGCACAACTTAAAAGGAGAGCTACATTAATAGGTTGCCTGCAAAAGTCAGCCCTTAAATTGCAGACAAAGCTTCTGCTCGCAAGAATATTACATCATCAACGCCTCCCCTGGACACTCAGAAATAAGCTGTACTTCTGTATGGCAGTGAAGCAGCAAATTGAATTCTCATAATATGTTTTGAAAATGAGTCTTGTTAGGTTTGATGAGGTGGAAAAGGTACTGAGTTCACTGGTTTGTTCCAATACATTCAGTATACTTTAGCTGGCTGTTTGCCACGGCTAATCTTTTTAATGGCAGTGTAGCTTGTAAACCCATTTGGTGGAGAGCTATGCATCTCAGTTTCATAATATCACGCCAAGTAGGATGGTAAATAAGTTTCTCTTCAAGCATGAAAGCATTTTGTTTCAATCCCACAAATCTTATTTTAAAACCTTCATCTTGAAGACCTCTATAATCCCATTTTTCCCCCAATCTAGCAATAAGCAGAATAGATTTCAACTCTTAAAAAATACTTATCTATTTATTGTTCTGTTTTGCAAAATGCATCTTTCCAGTGTTTTTACTTTTCACACAAATGTACTAAGCACGTGACTTAACATCATTCCCTAAACAAACAAAAATAATCTCGTTGTACTGCGTATTTATTTAAAAGCACTTCTATTTGTTTATTTTAAAGTACTTCTATTTTGTTTAATCAACTTCCCAAGGTGGCTTTCAAAATGAAGTTTTAAAAATAAAACAATTCAACAAATTGCAATGCAATACACTTACAAACCGGGAGGGGAGACACCTGCAAGAAATTAGAAGTTAGCATGGAAAGAAAAAGCACCTGTATTTGGTTTTGTTACTTAAATTTGCTTGGTAAAACTTGTGAGTTTTTGCTGACAGATGTTGCATTTGAGTTTGGTGTTTTCCTGTCCCCACAGCTATCCGTACAGTGAAGATTGTAGCCAGGGAATGCAGTATATGAACACTAGATGCCCAGCTTGGTGTGACAGGATCCTAATGTCACATTCTGCCAAAGAGCTGATTCTAAAGGTAAGGGCTGACTTGAAAGTCTAGGACTCTTTTGATCAGGGGTCAGCAAGGTTTGTCTTGCGGGCAGCTCAGTTCGGGGGCAGCTTGTGGGCTGGTCAAATGACCTCTGCAGGCCACTTCCGGCCCATGGGCCTTAGGTTGCTGACCCCTGCTTTTGACTATTGAGAAGTGCCTCGAACCTGCTAGAAAATATGGCGGCATATGGTTTCATTTTTGAACAAGTTTCCAGCCCTCATATTTTGGAGATCAGGATCTATTATTGAAAGCTCAGAACAACTGGGTGTTCAGTGAAAATCCCACTGTGCAAGTGGAACAGCAGCATTGGATATACAAACCTATGCTCCTTATTCTCAGCTATCTTTAGCAAAAATCCAATGATTGTCAGATAACTGGTGTACTAATCATTTCACCTACCTTGTATGCTCCATCCAGAACTTTTCAAGATAGCTTACAAAAGTCACTTCCATTGGGCTGTTAGTTGTTTGCTAAGCATTTGGCTCCTTATTCCAAGGTTATTTAACACAGGCCCTGTGGCAAGTCACCATGTTTAGTTAGGGAGTCAAGCTATGTCTAAGGATGTGGACAGAACCACAGAACGCAAACCCTGGGATTGTGCTCCGGTGGGGGGGAGGGAATGACCCGAGATTTTAAAAAGATAGAGAGTAGGGTGTGCTCCTCCGCCCTGCCCGCTTTTAAATCTTTTTGTCATGTAAAGGTAAAGGGACCCATGACCATTAGGTCCAGTCGTGACCGATTCTGGGGTTGCAGCGCTCATCTCGCTTTACTGGCAGAGGGAGCCGGCGTACAGCTTCCGGGTCATGTGGCCAGCATGACTAAGCCGCTTCTGGCGAACCAGAGCAGCGCATGGAAACGCCGTTTACCTTCCCACCAGAGCAGTACCTATTTATCTACTTGCACTTTGACGTGCTTTCAAACTGCTAGGTCGGCAGGAACAGGGACCGAGCAACGGGAGCTCACCCCGTCGCAGGGATTCGAACCGCTGACCTTCTGATCAGCAAGTCCTAGGCTCTGTGGTTTAACCCACAGCGCCACCCGCGTCCCTTTTGTCATTTAGGACGTTCTTAACTTATCTTGGGTTTTCCAGATCTCCTTATCTGAATCCGTTCATGGTGCGCACTCTATATAATTCCACATTGGTGCAAACCAATGTACATAGCACTCCCACATATTATCCAAATGTTTTGAACGTCCCCATGGCTATTCAAACAAATGAGGTTGCACTGCATTCTAATGAATTGAGACTTCCAGGAAATTTCCTTTATTTCCCTGTCCCATTCATGGGCCTGATTTGACAAGACTAGGAACACAGCCCAGATGCCCTCCCATTATTCTTTTCTGAGCGCTTCTCCTCCATCCTTGCTACTGCTGTAAACATATGAAGGCAGATAGATAGATAGATAGATAGATAGATAGATAGATTCTTTATTGTCATTACACAAGTGCATAGATAGATTCTTTATTGTCATTACACGAAGTGCACAACATTGCACAAGTTGCAACGAAATTGGATGCCATCCCTTTAAAACAACAAAAGCAAAACAAACAACCAACAAACCAAACAAACCACCTTTCCAGCCACACCCACACCCCACACCCATCAAACTCCCAGGTCTCCCTATCGAAGTTACAGGCATTCAAAAAGCCACAGCTCTTGGGATAGAAACTGTTTTTCAGTCTATTTGTCCTTGGACTTGATGTTTCTATACCTCCTGCCAGGAAGGCGAAGTAGTGCAAAACAGACTGTATCCCGGGTGAGATGGATCCATGGGGACTTGGCCAAACTATACACAACAAGCCAGCTTAAACAAGATGGGAGCAAATTCTGCTTACCCGATCTTAGGTCCCCCGATAGTATGGCAACTTCCTCCCATTGGTGATATGTTTTCCCCACTCAGTAACAGGGTAAAAGTTTATAAGAATCTTTGGCATGGCATGAAAAAAGGAGGGGAGGGGAAAGTTTTTTTCCCTCTCTCATAACACTAATCTCATAGACATCCAATGGGGTGAATGTTGGAAGATTCAGGGCAGGTAAAAGAAGTACTTATTCACACAGTGCATAGTTAAACTATGGAACTCACTTCCGCTATATAAGAGGATTAGACAAATTCATAGAGAAGGATATCAAACAATGACTAGCCATGATGGCTATGTTTCACCTCCAGTGTCAGACGTGGGAAACAGTCCCTGACTCCAACCTGCCCTCCAACCTGCTTAAAAGCTTCCAGTGAAGGAGAACCCACCACTTTCCTATGTAGCCCATCCCATGGTTTAACAGCTCTTAAAATCAGAAAGTTCTTTCAAATGCTTAATCAGAATCTCCTTTAGTCATTTGAATCCATTGGTTTGGGTATGGGACAGCAGGAATCAAGCTTGCTCCATCTTCTGTGTGACATTCCTTCAGATATTTGAAGTTGGCTGTCGTATCACCTCTTAAGTCTTCTCCAAGCTAAAAAATCTCCAGCTCCCTCAACCATTCCTCATAAGGCTTGCTTTCCAGACCCTTTGTCATCTTGGCCGCCCTCCTCTGCACATGTTCCAGCTTGCCAATAACCTTCTTAAACCATAGCGGCCAGAACTGTACACAGTACTCCCACATGTGGTCTGACGAAGGCAAAATATAGTGGTACTATGTCCTCCCTTATCTTGACAGTATACTTCCATTGATACAACCTAGAATTGCATTAGCTTTTTTTTTTTTTTTTTTTGCTGCTGCTGCATCATACTATTGACTCTTCACAGTTAAAGACGTATGTTTTTCCAGCTGGCCTAAAGACATGGTTGGCTGTCACTGTGATTTCTATATTGCTACTATTTTGTAATGGAACAGTGAGTTAGATAGTTCTATTATGTTTTTTATTCTTTGGATACCCCCCTGAGAACACTGGTTGGACGAAGACCTTAAAAATATAATAAATAATAACTTAAACTTTGGAATCAAACCCCACCCATGTCACTCACTGTGCAGCTTTTGGGTGTCATCTCCAGCCTAAATTCTCCCATCTGTAGAGTGAGAACAACACTAAGCAAAATAAATATTGTGAATTAAAACATGTGCTGAAAATAAAATACAGTGGTACCTCAGGTTACATACGCTTCAGGTTACAGACTCCGCTAACCCAGAAATAGTACCTCGGGTTAAGAACTTTGCTTCAGGATGAGAACAAAAATCGTGCAGCAGCAGCGCAGTGGCAGCAGGAGGCCCCATTAGCTAAAGTGGTGTTTCAGGTTAAGAACAGTTTCAGGTTAAGAACAGACCTCCGGAACGAATTAAGTACTTAACCCGAGGTACCACTGTAATACATTTTTCAGTGAAAGCATATGCAGGATTGTTTCTCCCAATCCACTGCCCGAGCATTTAGAAGACACCAGTACTCTAAAAGCTACATTTATTTAACAGCTGAGAACTCCCAAGATATGCTATGTGATATCTGCGGATTAATGTGGCAGCCATGATTCACAAAGGTGCTGTGCCTCTCCTGTGTAGCTACAGCTGCTAGTTTAACCCAGCAACACAAATCTGGGGTTTTTTCGACTGGCAGCTAATTTTGCGATGTCGCATTAAGTACGGTGGAAACCTTACTCTGGTGCTGCTTCAGTGCCTTCAAAGTGCCTGCAGGCAAGGCAGAAATTTTAACACGGAGATTTTCAGGGCATCTGGTGAAAGTTACACCTGCTAAACTTCTGCAAGGTGGGTAAGATAGCTGTTAATTGCACAGGAGTCCTGCCAGAACAAGCCACTGGGTTGTCACTATCCCCTGGCCTCAGTTCTCTAATCTGTATAATGGGAATAATAGTCACCTACATCCCCAGTCGATTTATGGGGACAAGCAAAATTGTAAGGCGTTCTGCTAGTTTTCAAAGTGCCGTATGAATGTAGAAGTAATGGGTGGTATTCAGTTAAGAGTAGACCCCCCCAAAAAAATTACCAAACATGATTAAGATACCGTAGGTCCATTGCTTTCAATGGGTCTGAGTAAAACTTAGTTGAGCCTCACGCAGTGTTTCTCCCCACCACATCCAAAAAGCAAGTTTAGCTCTTGCAGATTTGGGCTCCTTTGTTTGCATAGGGCAAGAGCTTCTAGCCGTGCCCAAATTCGCAGGGAGCCCAAAACACCAGGCTCCATGCAATAGGCTCCTTACAGATTGTACAGACATGGGGCTGTAAACAGCTTTAGCACAACCTCATTTATCATGCCACGGTCGGTTACCTCCCCAGCATGTTATTTTATGCTTGCTGAGCCCTAACACACCAAAGGTTGCCCGCTGCTCGAGAGTCACAGAACTGCCTGAGAGCATGGCGTAATGAATGCTCAGCTGAGTGGAGCGTGTTTCTGCTTGTGCGCTGCTGTAATTTGTTTATCTGTCTAAAGATTATGCACTCGAAAATCCACAATTTGACGCTGCCTTTGTAAATTATCAAGTCGCTTTTGATGAATGTATCTCCACTTCCGATGGCGGTGGCATTATGAACTTGAAATATTGGAAAGTGTTCATGCATACAATGCAGAAGGTTAGGGAGGGTGTGTGTGTGTGTGTGTGTGTGTGCGCGCGCGCGCGTGTGTGTGTGGATAGATACAGAGATAGATTCCCAGGCAAGCATGCTAGAAAGCAAATATGACCTTAAGTTTTCTTACTGCATTAAAGATAATTCAGTTTTAACTTTATAGTCCCAAATGCGGCTGTTTATATATAAAGTTCTTGCCCAGTCAAACTTGACTGATTACAGATGAGGGAAAGCTTGACTGTTTTTCATCAGAAATAAATGAGGATGGCAAACTATTTGCAAGCACAGCTGCGGTTGCATGTATGTATGTATGGAAGATCTGGGGAGAAGGGTGTGGGCTCCAGATTTAATTATCTCGCAGTTTAACCAGCCTGAGAAATTGCAAGTCAGAGCCAGCCTCTCTACCTCCCTCTTAAGTGATTGCTTTAGCAGGGTCATTATGCTAGATAAACAAAGAAGATGGTCAGCGTTGGTCGATGTAATAGTCGATGCAGTAGCAAAAGCTGTGTCGATTTCATTATTTGTTTGAAGAGAGGAGGATAAAGGGAATAAAGTGCCAGGGAAGAACAGAGTGGAAATAAATCAAGCGGTGGGGATATTGTTCATTCACCTCTCATTTTGAGAGGCGGTTTTTTTATGTAAAAATCCAAAAATCCATTTAAATAAATAGCAAGACTCCCATTGATTCGGGTGTTTCCAGCTTTCATTAGATCTGATTGAAAGCCAGTTCCATTGAAATCATAGGGAATCCCAAACATACTATGTTTACTATTGATATATCTGATGGAGGGGAAAATATATTTCATAAAAGACCACATGTAGGGGGGGGGTTAAATCCATTTCCTTTCCCCAGTGTTTCCAATTCTGTGCAACAGAAGACCCTAATTAGATCTAAACAGGGTTGATACCAAATCTGGTAATAGGATTAGAGCTGAAAGCATTAATCACTTTATCAGTGCCCCTAATCGATTAAGGCATTTAATTGTGGGTTTGAAAAATAGGAGTTTAAGAACTGTGAAGACTGACAAGTACCTTCAGCTTGGGAGTAGCCTAAGGATGTCAACTGAAGTGTTGTGTAGAACACCCCCAGTTTAAAACCGGCCTAGAAGTTGCATTTAGTTGTGATTTCCTGCTTCATAAATGTGGTTAGGAACTGGGGTGTCTATGAATTAAAGCATGAGTCTGCCCGTGCCTGCTCAGAACTTAAGTCCCATTGAGTTCAATGGAGTTTATTCCCAGGAAAGCAGGTAAGGATTTCAGCCTTACAACCCAAAGATTACAGTACAGGAATGGAGGAAACTGTTGCTGGACTACAACTTCCATCATCCCATAATCACATTGACTGAAGCTGATAGGAATTAGAGTCCAACATCTGGAAGGCCACAGATTCACCATTCCTGCTGTAGGGAATCCCACTGGTTGTATGTCAGATTACAGCCTTCGGTAGCTAGCTAAGAGAAACCAGTCTTCATTAATGCAGAAGCAGAGTCCCCTGCATTAAAATACAGGGTGTTGTTTTTTTAAAAAAATTAACTGGTTAATTAATTGGCCAGTGTAAACCAGAAAGTTTGTTTTTATATACACACAAACATACATACTATTCTTTGTTCAAAAAAGACTTCAGGGCAGCAGGCAAACAAACTTTTAAATTACCAAAACCAAATAAAAAACCCATTGTGAAGACAAAGCCACAATAAAAGAAACAAAGCTACAATAAAAAGAACAAACAAGTAAAGATATAATAATCTAAAATGCCTGGTTTTAACTTGGCACTGAAAAGAGTACAGTGTCGACACTAGGCTTACCTTCCTCTGGGGGGTATTCCACAGTCAGGGTGCCATCACAAAGTAGGCCCTCACTTTTCATCCACTCAAGACATGATGCACCTCTAAAGACTGAACACATAGGATGGTTGCCTGGCTCTCTTTGAGCAGGTTGGTGCTCCCTTTAATATTTGGACCCACAGTAGCAATTGAGGAACAGCTTCAAATCCGTTAACACCCCTTCTAGAACACTATTGGCGGCTGCATCCTTGAAGGTTTGTTTCTGACTACTGACCTGATAAAGCCAAAGCTGAGCATTTTTAAGGCCTGTTTTTTAACAGGAGTTAACTTCTGTTCATTGTCCTCACTGAAATAAGTGGCATTTAAATGTGTTGGGCTTTGGCTATGTACTAGTAACACAACAACAGGGATACGAAATGAGAAAGTAGGAATTGCTTGCAGTGCAATGACAATCTAATAAAAGGAGACCTTTCCGGCTAAAGACATCAGAATTACAGTGGCTGCATTTTGAAATTTTTCCAAATGCAGTTTACTCGCATTTCAAGATTTAACAGTGCAGTCCCACGTGTCTACTGAGAATTAAGTCTCAGCCAATTCTGTGAGGTTTACTCTTGAGTAAGTGGGTCTAGGCCTGTTGCCTAAGTAGGTTAAGAGTTATTGTGTTCCTAGACAGGCATGTGTTGTGAGTTAATAATCCCTAGGAGCAGATCTTGCAATTCTTTGCATATATGTGAAGTTGGCATTCACCCAGCTGGCTTTCCCCATCTGTGCCTAAAGAAGTAACATTTGGGGGGGGGGCAACGGTACACGGACTCTGAATACATTTCCTTGTCAGTGAGATCTATTGATTTTAACGGCCCTTATTCCCGGATGTCGATGTGTGTAGCTGCTTCCCTCGGCTGCTGTGTGCATTTACATACCTGCGACTTTGCATTCTCTGTGCAAAGCCTCTCCGAACTATGGGCTTCTTCTTATGTTTTTACCCTAGTCAGAAAACGATGAGAAGCAAGTGGTGTACGACCATATTGGACCAAATGTCTGCATGGGGGACCACAAGGTAAGCGTTGCGAACAGCTGCATGAACGCGTGTCTGTGGCGGGCCAAGGGGACGTGGGTGGGGCGGCGGCGGAGGATCTTTGCAGGGGAGATGCCCTCTTGCTTGGAAGGAGTCCCATGGATCAATATTGGGCTGGTTTTTTCCAGCAAACGTGCGTAGGATCGGGTTAGAAAACGGGAGCTGGGGAGCCTGGAAGGCGCTACCAAACGATCAGAAGTTGAAACCCACGTGTAGGAAGTAGAGAGCGGCGACAGGCGTCCGTTTTTCCGAGTTTTCTGTGCCTTGGGGGCGAGTTGAGATTCAAAGGGGAGGGGCAAGATCAAGAGCGTGAAGTTCAGTGTCCTGGCGTTAAGGGGACCCCGGATCTGAAAGACCCTTGCGTTTTTATTTTCTGATCCGGGTATGAAAACTATTGAAATAAACTTCCCCGCTTAGACACACTTTTAAAATCCGAAAATGAGGACCTACCGCTACCAGCAGGTTAGCAAGTACCCCGAGCCCTCAACGCCCCGATCCCTAGCAGTCAGTCCGCCTGATCGCGTTGCGGCTGAGCGGATAGTTTCCGACTCCAAAGGTGCGTAAAAGCAGCCTGACGCGCCCTTGGAAGCGCGCTCCGAGCAAACGGTGAGGCTTCGCTTCCCCGGTGCCAGAGTCAGGGATCCGAAAGCCACGCCGCTTCGGTTTCGTTGGAGTGGGCTGTGCGTTCAGAAACGGGCAGAGCAGGAGGAGGCTTGAGGCCTGATTTCCCTTTTCCTTGGCCGCATCTGGCTTCTCGACATACACGTCAACCCATTAATGGCTACTTAAGCCTGCGGTCTTAAAAGACGCGTTTCCTTGAATCCAGCTAGCGAGACCTGCACTAGCGCAATCCTACGCAGGAGGACGCGCCAATGCGTTCAGAGGCACTTTCTCCGAGGTAACGCACTGAACTCCGGTTCGTGTAGGAGAGCAGCCTATATCCCAGAGTGTAAGAATCGCCCCCTTTGGGCAAGGAACATCAATCCCTGTGTTTGAACTGATATTTGGAGATATAGAAGGACCTAAGTTTTTTAGCTAACCAGAAAGAGTATATTTAGTTTGTCATCCGATGTAAAAATGAGGTTCTTGGCGGGAGAGGGGGACCGCTAGCGCAGCCCCAGTTTTACATACATACCTGAAAGTAAATCCTATGGAAATCAATGGACCTGAGTAAACCTGGTTAAAAGTCGGGGGCCGCAGGGCAGCCCGCTAACGGAGCGCTCGCTCCGAAAGAGCCGCCCGATCCTACTCTAAAGTAAGCCTGCGTTCGACGGGACGGGCTGCTTGATTTCGACTGCAGCCCAAACCTCACGCGTTGCAGCGGGGTTCGCTGCCGGGGCCTGGACCCCGCGGCTTCAAACAGGCGTCAACTCTTGCTTTGGCGCGCGTAAGGCGCTGCGGTTACTCCCCGGGCAAAGACGCACGAGCTCGGGGCGGGCCCAAGGAAGACGCGCGTGGCTCTTCCAGGAGGCGGAGGATGACCCAGCCGGTGTTCCCCAGGAAGCAAAGCGGAGGAATCGGGGAGGAGGAAGCCGGGGTGCCTGCGACTACGGAGGCCCTATTGCTTGGCTTGGGGCGCGGGGAGGCGGGAGGCGGCGTCGATGACTGCTTGGGCTCCACCTTCTAACCTCTCTTTTCTCTCCCTCCTTCCAGCCCGTGTTCCTGTCCTTCCGAATAGCCGCGGGGGCAGGTAAACCTATTGCCAATGTGCACAAGTGTTGTGTCGTGCAGTGATGTAGTGGTGGTAAATATCACATTAGATTTTTTTCCTTACCTCCTTCCTCTCTCCCCTCTTTGCTTTCGCGGTTTTTTTAAAAAATATATTATTATTATTATTTATTCCCTTCTGGCCCCCATATTTTTTGGTGGGGCCTTCTTTATTTTATTTGCTTGTTTAATTTTTAGTCTGTTAAAGTAAATAGAGAAAAAAAATCAGCTGCCAATCAATTCTGCAAACAGGGAAAAGATGCCTCCGAAACGAGAAGATCTTTCGAGAAAGCTCCTTGTAATGAGGAGGAAGAGGAAGGACTTGAGATGCATCCCATCGCTTATACCGTGACAGCTCTATTCATCCTCCGGAGTCCAGCGTGCCACGTTATTGTTTTTATTGTTATTGTTATTTTATTTTAGGCTGTTGATCATACACTATTTTCTTTGGAGTCTGGGCTTTAGAGCCCCAAGTAAAAAAGAGAGAGAGAAACCTCTCATACCTCACCCTCTCGTAAATATTCCTGTGACATCAATTGTGGATTTTGTTTTTTTTTTTTTATTTTTATATGGAGATGCATATATTATGCCACAATCTGGTTGCCAAAACAAAAACAAAAACCTAGTTTGCCGCGATGTACTGTGTTTTAGACTTCACTCTGCTTCCTTCTTTTTTTAAAAAGTCTGTCAATGTGAAATTATATATAATATATATAATAGTCAACATTTAAAAACAAACAATTTTCATCACCCTTCTCTAGCTTAAAGCAAGGTTGGGATTTTGTACATTTGCCTTGTATAGAAGTCCTGGTGTGTTATTATTGTATGTTAACCAAGATTTATGGTCCCTGTGATTTTTTGAAGTGGGGGGGGAGGGTTGCAGGGTGGGGTTTTTTGTTCTGTCCTGGTCATTTTTATAGACTTTTTTTGTTTTGTTTTCTCATGTTATTTACTATACTGCCATGTTCCATGGTTTTTTGAATCACACAACAGCAGCTGCTTTCTATAAGTGTATATATTTATATATTTGTATGTGAGTGTGTATAGAGATATATATACACAGATATAGAAATAATAATTTATAATTACAAACCGTTTGTCTTTCCTGCTACAAAATAGCCTTTCCTCCTCCTCCTCCTCCTCCTCCTCCTCCTCCTCCTCCTCCTCCCCTCACCAGCCCAGACTAGTCAAGGGGCAGTAAATCCCCCTGGGTTTTCCCCAAGTAGGTTTTAACTTCCAAAAACAATGGTGTGTTGTTAGGATCCACACGGAGGGAAAAAATGCATCTCTCCCCGCTGATACCCAATCCTGAAACAAATTTACTTTGAACTGAAAGCAGACTTGACACCCCAATCCTAAGTGTGTTTACTTGGAAGTAAGTGTGAGTAGGCCTTACAGCAGCCCTACGCCTACTTACTCAGAGTTGCAGACCATGGGATTTGGGGTGGAGCCTGGAGGCGTCCTTTGGGACACCTGCACCCCCCATGGAGCCCAATGCTAAGCAGAGAGACAAGCTTCCCCCAGTTGCCAGCCCAACCAAAGGGCTTCTTTCACCAGTGTGTGTGTGTGTATATATACAGTACTTATATATAAAGAGAGCCAGAAACCTCACTCATCATCTGCCAACTGTAGTCACATATTTATGCAGCAAATTCTGGTGCCAAGTATTCTAGCTGAAGATAGGAAGAAGGTTCCAAAAAAGGCAGTTCAGCCCCGAGGCAGGTAGCAATTTTTGAGTATGGCTAAGGGAGGGGGGGAATTGGGGGGGAGGAGAGAGATGGGGGGGCAAAGAGTCTGTAAATCTTCACTCTGATTGGAGCTCTTCCCAGCACCCCCACCCCAATTTCTCTCAGCTCACACCTCTCCCCATAAAGCATTAAAAGGCGATTAGCGAGCCTGTTGATGAAACACAAGCGGAGGGCTTTATTGATTTAATTTAGAACACTACCGAGTTCAGGGACCGGGCAATGGCGGGAGCTGCGGGAGCCTGCCTTGGGGACGGGGGTGTGTAAATCAATCCCACGCGTAGCAAGGGAGGAGGAGGAACCCTCCCCGATAAAATCAGAGAAACTTCCCCATCGCTGGGTACTGTCACTGATGCGCACACGCTATCCCCCTCACCCCCCAAATCTGGTATCCGTACAGACCCGTGTAAGGCTGGAGGAGAGAAACTACGCGGGGGTTGGGAGAAAGTTTGTAATGTTTGCCTGTTCACTTTGAAATGAGCATTCTGGTTCTCAAGCAATAAAACTGATCATGGTGAAGACGGCTGCGTGTCTCTTGGGGTTTTGTCGGCTTTACTATTGCAAGAGAAATGGTTCAGGAAAAGCGGGGAGAACGCAAAGCTGCGTTTCCAAACGTCTGGAGTCCAAGCGTCTCTCTCTCAACCTCCAACGCCAAGGGTGTCGATGGCCGAGGGGAGAGAATGGGCTTCTGCACATGCTCAGACACACCCTGACCACAGGTCATCGCCCCACGGGCTTCAGGGCCAAGACCGGATTGTCGGGCTAAATTTAAATGTTCCAGAGGTCGAGGTATTGCGGGAGGGACCTTGTTTGGGGCCAAGAGAAAAGGGAAGCAGTTATTTCCAATGTTTGTCCAGCGGGATAGATTTATTTTTTGTTGGTGTAAACAACAAAATCTGCCCTTCGGATATTTTCGACTAAAACTCCCCAGCCAGCTTGTCCAGTGGTCAGGAGAGCAGCCCAAAACGTCTAGAGGACACCCGGTTGGAGGAGGCTGTTTTCACACCCAAACGCACGGAAATAAGGCGCAATACTTAATCTAGGCGCAAACTCCAGGGAACGCAATGAAACTTACTCCCGAGTAAACCAGTTTCAACTCGGGCTGCGGGCCCTAGTGATGTTCATCAACGGGACCCGCCTTCGCCAGCTTCGAAGCCGAGGTAAACAAGGTGTCTGGGGTGCCAACTTGAATAAAATAAGCCTCGCACCGCATAATCTATCACATGACACAGTGCACACAACATTTGAAAGGGAATGCCTATCAAAAAATGGGGGGGGGGCTCAAATATTTTATTGCAGGGATTCGTGGTTGGCTCCTATGAAAGGTGTCAACCTAAGTACTGGGGGGGGGGCGCAGCGCAATCCTTTACGCGGAAGTAACTTGGAACAGAGTAAGACTTCTCAGTCGACGCGCGTAAGGTCCTCGGGAGAGAGAAGAGCAAAACAAAAACAAAAAACCCGCGTCCGTAATAAGCATTTAGTTAAGGGGCTTGGGCTATCCCATCAAGATCATGCCCATATTAAATGCCCTGGGAGCAGGGAAGCTATTTAAAGCTGCATCTCTGATTGGGGAGTTCTTCCCACCGTCCGTCCTACTGAGAACACATCCCTAGCAGGTGCTGCAAAACTTGCTTGGAGAGCTGGCAGTCCTTTTAAGAGGTTACAGGAAGAAGCCAGTTTTAATCATGGTCCCTCCTCGCTGCTCCCCCGCCCCGCTTTAGGGGAGGGTTACAGGACAACGCTTCCTTTAGAAAATGGGTGAGATCCCTACGTGTCATAAGGAGGATCCTGCGGAATTCCTGGGCACCTGCAGAGTCTCTGTCTCTAAGATCATCCTGTTCTCGGCAGAAAACCCTTCCCCGTTCCTATTCCCAAGCGGCTCACACTTAAATTAGGGTCACCGGAGCATCATAAGATCAAGTGCCTGGTTTCTTTCTTGCACGACCACGTGTCTAGAAAGCAGCTGGTTGAGTCATCTGAAGCATGCGGGAAGCTTGCTTTGATCTTCGTTGGGATGCAATAATATATATATATATATATATAGCTAATTCTCAGCCCTTGCATAGTGTGGTGTGATGGTTAGAGTGCTGGACCTAGGAGGCCAGGGTTCAAATCTCCACTTGGGGATGAAGTTCACTGGACGACCTTGGGTCAGTCACTATCTTGCAGCCTAGCCTACCTCATGGGGTTATTGTGAATATAAAATTGGCGTGGGGTGGAAGAACCATGCGCTACACCACCTCGAGCTCCTTGAAGGAAATGGTAGTCTATAAATGGAATAAGCGAACCGAGTCCGCCAACAACCGCAATACGATCGGGGCTGGATCGATAAACCCCTTTGTGCTGCATCTGCAAAACCGATTGCAGGTCCCAATACACGGCCGCCTGGACTTCAGGCCAAGTCAGCTGGGCAGAGGGAAGCGAGTTCTCTGGGAAGATATTGGGGCCAACCCTTCCAACCAATTAAATCGCGGACATTCTCTGACGTTGAGGAAGGTCCAGTCGAGTCGAAGCCCAGGGGAAAGACTTAAAAAAAAAAACAAAAAACCTCTGGGTCCCGAGAAGGCTCCTGAAAGAGTTCTAGCATTTCTCTGTCTTTATAATTAAGGGAACTGGGTTGAAACTCTCAAAGGGAGGCGCAGATGGAGGAAGAACGTCACCTAAGAGGACCCGATTCTGGCTCTCGGCGAGAAAAGGGCACGATTGTGCTTCTTTCGTGGGATGCCTCCAAACGGTTAAACCGGCGGGTGGGGTGTCAAGAGGTAACTGGGTAATTTACATCAGGGTCAGCCCATTGAGTCCCACCCCTCCCCTCTCCTCCCCACTGCACAGATCGCATCACTAGGAGCGCCAACAAGTGTGATTTGGCCACTATTCTGAGCTGAGCCTCGTTCCCATCCAAAACGAACTTCGCTCTGCTCCAAGTCCTAGAAAACTACCTGCACACGAGCAGACGGAGGCGCGCGTTTTTAAAACAAATGCAGATAAACTTACAAAAAACAACAAAAACGGAGCATATTCAAGAGCAACCTGTCACTCGTTCCCCCCCCCCTTTTTCCTACGTGATCTGTTCATCGGGAGAATGTAAAACATCCTCATAAATCCACTGCCCTCTTCCCCCTCTGTTATTCCGGAACCGTTTACGCGGGGAGGGGAGCGGTAGGCTAACTATGGATCTACGTGGGATTTCGCCCGAGTAAGGAGTTCACCCTTTTATAAGAGCTGGGGCTAAGCCAACACACACACACAAACTTTCCTAAGTCGCTCCATCTTCCCTTCAACCAAGGGGTGGGGGAAGCAAGCGGTATGAATTAATATGCGAAGCCTAAATCCTTGATTTGCTAGGGTAGAAAGACCACTGGAAACATTTGCATCCTAAGTAAACTCGCACATATCGGGGTTGGTTCCAGAGGAATCCCGTTGGAATCAGTAGCAGACTAATGTTTCCCAATATATTTCAGTGGGACCTGAGTTCAGCTCAATGCAGGCTGCAAACCTAACCGTGTCTACTCAGAAGTCAGTCCTACTGAATCCAGATAACTGGGAGTTAAGGCTTCCATTGATTTCAACAGAAGCGGAGTTCAACCTGACTCCGGATCTAGCCCATACTGCGCGCCATGTCAGTTTCCACATTCAGCTGAAAGTAATCACAGCCGGCGGAATCAACGAGAGTCCGTGTACGTGCGAACCATCTGTTTAATCAGAGTAAGCCCGGTGTAAACCAGGCATATTTGATTTCCAAGTCAGTTGTTTTCCAAAGGGTGTGTCGGTAGGAAATTATTAATTATACCCTCGCACAAAGTTTTCTATGTCTCTTTCTTTAAAACCCCCGCTTATGCAATTCAGGCTAGGAATGAGCAGCCCTTCTCCTGCGAACTTGCCCGCTAGGAGCTGGCGAAACATAAAGCAGCTGCATTTAGGCTCGTCAGGGGAGGAGAGCGCAAAGGAACTATTCAATCCGGAGCATCCAAGACTCAAGAAGCAGTTGCTTTATCAAAAACTGGCCTTTTGGGACAACGGCACCAAAAGCCACTTGTCAAAGAGACCTCGCATTACGTGTGAACGTATAGATCTCTCTTTCTCTTTCCCAAATGCAGTGAAACAAAAAAGGCTGCGATCCTATACACCCTTGCTTGGGAGAAAGTTCCACTCAGTTTAGTGGAACCTAAGTCCACGTAATGCATAGGCGGAATCCGACTGCGGATCCCGGTTAATAATTAGATCCATGAACCTTACTCACGAGTAAGTACATTTCCGGTCGCCGTTCAATATCTTAATAGCCTGAGCCTTTCCCATTTGCTAGGAACTCAGCCCCACGCCCTTCTAGAACGCGTGCAGTGAAGTGTGTTAAAATAGGATTTCGAATTGTGATCCGGATTTACCGGAGATTTATCAGACAGATATGCAAAAGTCACAAGGTAATGAGGGTATACGTTGATCTGAACTGGAATTAAGACTGCAACCCTATATTTCCTTACCTGGGAGTGAATCCCACTGAACTCAGCAGGGCTTACTTCTGAGTAGCCACTTAGGCTTGCACTGTAAGGTTGCGATGCTGGCATTAATTTCTACTTCAGTCAGAGACTTCCTAAAGCACCCGCGCAATGCTAATCACGTCTAATGGGAAGCAAGCCTTGCTGAATTCAATGGGGCCTGCTCCCAGGATTGCAGCCTGAATACATGGAGGAGGAGGCGGCCATTCCCTATCCTCCCTAGAGTCTTATTTTCTGCTTTTTAAGTGCGCTATTGCCCAGTACGAGACACTGGGTACAGATCACTGTCGTTCAAAACTCGTGAATTAGTTCGCCCCAGGCCAGCCTCCATAACTGGACAAGCTGCCCGCCACGTTTTGGTTTGCTCACGAAAAGGGATGATATAGATCAGACTCACCTGTCTTATTCTGTGGCTCTTGAATCTAATAAGTAATTCTGCAGTTGACTCGCGCGTCCTGTAGCTGAAGAAAATGGACGACTGCCGAAGAATTCTGTGCAGCCCGGGAACCTGCCAGAGAGCAGCCAATTCACACCCACCTCCTTCGTCTGGCAGCTCCGGTTTTAAGGGTTTGCTTCGAACGCCTAAATTACACGCCCGTTTAAAAACATGAACTCCCAGCTGCAAACGCTGGCTGCGAACACGCTGCGCATTTCAAGCCCCCCTTATTCCCTCCCAAAGAACCCTGGGCGCTGTAGTTTGTAAAGGGCTGCTAGGAACTGTAACTCTAAGAAAGGCGAACTACAGTACCCAGAATTCTTTGCGGGCGAGGATGTGTTTCGAATGTGCTTTAAAGGTGTCGTGTGTATGCAGCAATCCCGGGCAGAGGTGGCTTTTCCTTGGAAGGAGCTGAGTGGACGGCCCTACTAGGCTGCTGTGGGCTTCGAGAGTACAAACACTTTTGTAAATCAAGAAAATCTTTAATAATAATAAAAAGAAACTTAAAAAAATGTGATTGTAAATCCCCTACATGCATTCTATTTTGCGTGTTTTAAAAATAGATGTCCTAATACTGTCTTGTGCTATTAGAAG